GAGTAGGAGTAGGAGTAGGAGTAGTAGTAGTAGTAGTAGTAGTAGTAGTAGTAGTAGTAGTAGTAGTGGTGGTAGTAGTAGTAGTAGTAGTAGTAGTAGTAGTAGTAGTAGTAGTAGTACTGGTGGTGGTGGTGGTGGTAATAGTAGTAGAAGTAGTAGAAGTAGTATAAGTAGTAGTAGTAGTAGTAGTAGTAGTAGTAGTAGTAGTAGTAGTAGTAGTAGTAGTAGTAGTAGTAGTAGTAGTAGTAGTAGTAGTAACAATGATACCGGGGAAAAGCTCCAATCAGGGCTGTAGGGCTAGGGGGCTATTGGGCAATAACGCTATTGAGCTACAGGGCTATAGACCTATAGGCCTACAGAGTTGTAGGGCTATGTGGCTATTGGGTTATAGGGCTATAGGGCACCCCCAGGCACCCCCGGGCACGCCGGGGCACCCGGGCACCCGTGCACCTGGGCACCCCTGGGCCCCACCCGGGCACTTGGGCGTGCAGCGAAAATCGGCGGCCAATCTCACCCCCGGGCACCTCCAGGCACCAGGGCACCTGGGCGTGCGGCGAAAATCGGCGGCAAACCTAACCTAACCATATGAATCCGCTAGGACCCCTACAGAGGCAAGCTCTGATTGGGGAGTTGTAGTAGTAGTAGTAGTAGTAGTAGTAGTAGTAGTAGTAGTAGTAGTAGTCGTAGTCGTAGTAGTAGAAGTAGAAGTAGAAGTATAAGTAGAAGTAGAAGTATAAGTAGAAGTAGAAGTAGTTCCAGTCGTAGTAGTAGTAGTAGTAGTAGTAGTAGTAGTAGTAGTAGTAGTCCTCGTCGTCGTAGTAGTAGTAGTAGTAGTAGTAGTAGTAATAGTAGTAGTAGTAGTAGTAGTAGTAGTAGTAGTCGTCGTCGTCGTCGTCGTCGTCGTACTACTTTTACTTATACTATTATTTTTACTGCTACCACTACTACGACGATTACTACGACTGCTACTACTACTACTACTACTACTACTACTACCACGACTACTACTACGATTACGATTATTACTACTACTACTACTACCACGACGACGATTACCACCTATTACTACTACTACTTCTACTACTACGACTACTACTGCTTCTAGTACTACTTCCTACCACTACGACTACTACTGCTACCACCTACTACTAATACCTCTACGACCACTACTTCAACTACTACCACTACCACTACCACCACCACTACACAAACTACTCCTGCTATTACTACAACTAGTACTGCTACTCCTACTACTCCTACTATTACTACTACTACTACTCCTACTACTACCTCTACTACTAATACGACTTACTTTTACTATTTTTATTACTACTACTATCATTATTACTACTAGTACCATTCGTATCGCTGCTACTACTACTACTACGACCATTACTATTACTTTACTGCTACTACTATGACTACTACTACCTCTACCTCTACTACTAGTCCTATCACTACCACAACTACTGCTACTACTACTACCGAACTTTTCGACTACATACTACTACCTAGTGCTACTGTCCAGTACTACTAGGCTGCTACTACTACAACTACTACAACTACTACTACTACTACTACTACTACTACTACTACTACTACTACTACTATTTCTACTACTACTACCGATCACTACTAGTATTTCTTCGACTACGCCCTAGTACTACTACTGCCTAGTACTAGTACAACCATTGTTCGTACTACTACTACTACTACTACTACTACTACTACTACTACTACTACTACTACTACTACTACTACTACTTCTACTACTTCTACCACTACTACTACTACTACTACTACTACTACTACTACTACTACTACGGTCACTACGACTACTACTAGCACTACTGCTACTACTGCTACTACTACTACTATTACTACTGCGTTCGTACTACTAGTACTACGATCACTACTACTACTACGGTCACTACTACTACTACTACTACTACTACTACTACTACTACTACTACTACTACTACTTCTACTACAGCTACTACCACTATTACTAGCACAACTACGACGACTACTACTTCTACTATTTCGACTGCTACCTAGAATTACGACTAGTACTACTACTACTACCCAGTATACTGCCACTATTAGTGCTACTACGACGGCGACGAATACGACTACGACTACGACGGGTACTACTACTACGACTACTACTACCACCACCACTACTACCACTTGGGCATGACGGATTGCTCGTATGAGTACTACCACTGCTAACCTCTAGAAACCTTTGTGTGCCCCACTTCTATGTTTCGTGATAATGGTTATTGCTGTTGTTGTAATTGTGATTGCCATCGTGATAGTAATCGTGAGTGTAGTCGTAATTTTAGTCGTCGTCGTTGTCGTCGTCGTCGTCGTCGTCGTCGTCGTCGCGGCGAAGATTATTTTTCCACTCATTTTCGCCGCGCTGGATAATGTTTGGTGTTCGTTCTCCCAGGGAACAATGCTCCCTGGGCTACCCTGCGCGACACAGAGATTTTGAGCAAGTTAGGAGAGGATTGCAACATAGATCGACACATTCTTCGCCGACGGCTTTGCTCACAATCTCCTCTTTCATCTCGTCGTCGTCGCCGTTGTTGTGCTGCAGTTGCCGCGGAGAAATCATTATCTTCCACTATTTGCGGGGCCCCAGTCCGTCATTAAGGGCATCGAGAACACCTTACCTCGGTACCGATTTTCAGTGGCCCTTTGCTTGCCGATCTTAGGGAGATGGATACATTCGAGGCTGGTCATGTGCGCGCCGCCAACGTCTCCCCGCCCGCCCCCCCCATCGGCGTCACCCCGTCATGCCAATACTATGTGTGCGTCGCCCCCCTCTCTGGGGAGAGGCGCCCACCGAGGAGTCTTATATTACATGCGCCGTGGCGAGCGCTTTCTGGCCACACCGATGTACTACAAGATGGTATGCTGTATGTCCGGGTCGGACGCACGCCTCCAAGGAGGACATATAGTACTAGTACCGTTGAAGGGATAAACTTTGCATCAAGAGTTGGGGGACCACGTCGAATACCCCCTCCCGCCCCCCCGCCTGGCCTTAAGGAGTCGGACCCCAAGATCTCGATCGCAGTGCATTCCAATAGTAAGGCCCGGGGTGGAGGGGGGGCATTTCGTTCTTTGTCGTCGGAGCGTTGTTGATGCACGGTTGTTTCCTTCAGCCGTATGTGATTTTGTGCCTTCACACGTCCTCCTCCTCCTCCTCCTCCTCGCCCTCGTCCTCCGGCAGCCGCCGCGGCAGCCGACCCGGCCAAGAGGCTGTGCGCGCCGCCCTGCGGCAGTTCCCTGGCCACGGCGTCGGCGACCTCACGGTCTGCAGCGGCGTCTCCACCGTGGAGGAGGCCTCGAGGGGAATCGGCGGCAAACCCAAGGGGGAGGAGGAGGAGGAGGAGGAGGAGGAGGAGGAGGAGGAGGAGGAGGAGGAGGAGGAGGAGGAGGAGGAGGAGGAGGAGGAGGAGGAGTACGAGGACGAGGACGAGGACGAGGACGAGGAAGACGAGGAGGACGAGGACGAGGAGGACGAGGAGGAGGAGGAGGAGGAGGCGAACGAGGACGAGGACGAGGAAGACGAGGAGGACGAGGACGAGGAGGACGAGGAGGACGAGGGGGAGGTCTCGAGGGGGAGCGGCGGCGAGCCTTGGGGGAAGTGCGGAGGGGGGCGGGGGGGCATTATCGGAGGGCTCGGAAGGCCTCTGGCCTGCCCGAGAAGGCTTTCGGAGCCCTCTCCGAAGGTGCGGGCTTCCGAGAAGTCCCGCCGCTTTCTGAGAAGGCTTGCGCCCTCTCAAGAAGTCGTTACCATACGCTCCCTGCCGCCGTATGTACATATATTTTCATTGCCTTGAACAGTGTATTCACAAATCCACAGCTGTTTGGGATTAGAAAGTAAATGCGCGCGCGACACCACAAACTCTTGTTTCCTTATCCGCTGAACGGATAGTCGAACCTCATACTTCGACGGCTGCCGCCGTTCACATTGCCGCCATGGTCTTTCGGGGATCCTCGAGCCCAAGACGTTCCTTGGAACCACTGCTAGTAGGAGTACCACATTTACCACCAGAACATCCTGATCATATTGGCCGTGTTGGGCAGACATTTGGTAAATATGGGTTATCAGCCGAAAGTGCCGATCCAAGGATGACCGACCATGTTGGTCATCTTGGGGCTCATAATATACTCGTCCGGCAAACACATTCGAATGCGGGAATTGACCTTGGCCGAACAAAACCAGGCAAATATGATATTCAGGTCGATGGACCGATGTCCTCGACCTCCCAGCGCATCCAAGATCAAGGAAGGGCAGATGGCATGCCCGTCAACCGTGGAAGATAGGACACGCCTGCACCAGCATATATTTCCGACGAAGAAGAGGAGTGGTACGGCGGCAAAAGACGCCCCAGGAACCCTCTACCCGATGATGTTACACAGGCGTTCGTTGTCCACTCCAGTTCGAGGAAGGCATGGTAAGAACCCCTAAGAATAAGAAGGACATTTTCCGTGTCGAGCTCTTCGGAGACGATTGAGGCGTCTATGCTCGAAAGGGCGCCAGTTAAGGAGACTGCGGGCCATGTCCGAAGTCCGGCCAGGGTGCGCATTTGGGAGGACAGTGAAGACCAAACTGGGGCCCGAGGACCATCGTCCGGGGGGGTCGCGGTGGAAGCGCGCCTCGGAGAGACCCCGAGGGGAGACCCGGCCGACGTTGAGGTGTCGCCTTACGAGGCGCGCCCCAAGATCGAGACCGGTGGGCCGGGCGCCCATGGCGCGCCCAGCCCAATGCCGGGGGCGCGACGCCGAGGAAGGCAGCTCCTGCAGCCCCCGAGCTCCATCTCTCAGAGATCAAGGTCGGGGAAGGGTGGTCCTAGCCGCGCCCCGAGGAGCTCCCGACATAGCTCGTCTCTATCGAGGCATCGGCGTTCAGGTGCGTGATCAAGGAACCTTGTGCCCATCAGGGGCCGAACTGCGCGGGGTGGCCCGAGGGCTGCTGTCCTGGCCGTGCCTTCGACAACGGACCGCGCAAGAAGCCAGTATGTGCAAGAAGCCAGTATGCCGAGGCTGCTCATTCCAGTGCTCGCTGTGCAGCTTGAACTGCCTGTGCCTCGATTGCGCGCCCCCGAAGTTGCGCAGTTGCCGCGCTCTCAAGAACCGCGCATGGGAGCGGCAGCAGGAAATGAAGCAGCAGCAAAGGGGGCAAAAACGAATTTCCGAGATCGCTGCCATGCGAACGACGATGGTTCGCGCGGAAGCGAATCAGAAGAGGCAGGCCGGAATCATCGCGCAGAAGGCAGTGTGCGAGATGCGCGACATCGTCCAGAGAGAAAGAAAGGAGACAGCACTCCTCCATGAGGCTGCGCTTTCAGCGGGCCGCGAGGCAAAGGAACAGACGAAGATTGAACGAGCCCCAGCTGAACAAGCGCGTCAAGCCCTCCGAGATCTCAAGACAGGGAAGCACAGCTCGGAACGGCATTCGTCTGAAACTGCAGGAAGCCACCGCGCCCCATGAACAATCCGTTTCTAGGGCGGAACAAGTCGCCGTGAAGACGATCGCTGAGCAGCGCCACATGGGGGATGCGGCCTCTAATGCCCAAGAGATGGCCATGTCGCCTCTACGAGCTGCGCAAACGAAGCAGCAACAGGTGGATAACGAGGCTCGCGTGTCGCAAGCTGGAGGTGCGAAGATACACGCTGAGCTGAAACGAGCCTCGGAAACTGCATCGGCGATCCGGTAGGGGGGGGGGGGGAGCAAAGGCGTTGCGCCGAGCCAGGGCAGGGGCGCTCGCCGACCACGGGTCGGCTTCTCGCCGAGCGGCCGAACTGAGGTCCATGCGCCAGCGCGCTCAGCAGGCCGCAGAAACGTCTCGGGCCGGCCATGCCAGTGCGAGGCGCGAAGCAGAGGAAGGAATTCGAGCCATGCGGAACACCGAAATACAAGCCCAGCTGGAAGTGGAAGCAGCAAAGCACCACTTCCAGAAGGAAGCTGTTTCGACTGTACACGAATGGGGGGCTCAACGTGAGATGAGCTACCGACAGCAAGCGCGACAGCTGGTACAAAGACGGCCTGCAGGGCATAGCATGCGCGGTCAGAAGGGCCGTCTCGGCAGCCGCCTTGCGGGTCCGAGCATCGGGGGGGGGGGGGGGGGGGGGGCGCAAGTCAGCGGGGGGGCGCCCGATCCAGAGCGGCCACGACCGACGAGAACCGATGCTTCGTCTGCAACGCTTCCGGCGCTCCGCGCAGATGCGAATGGCGCGAAAGGCCATTCTGCGAATTGCATTTCGACTGGGTAGTGGGACGCTGACGCCAGTGCGAAGGAGATAGGGCGCGCGATCGTGAAGAAGCGCTGAGGGGGCAGCGTGAAGAAGAAGAAGAAGGAAGCCCACATGATGAGAAGGGTGCGGGGGAGGAAGAGCGCGCTCGGGCCAGAGACGAGATCGGGGCCCAGGCGGAAGCCAGGGCTTTCCGTCGCATCCTGGAACTTGAAGAAACTGCAGAGCTCCGCGTGATGAAGTTAGAAGCAAATGCACGGACTCAAGCCGACGAGATGCGAGAGAAGACCGAGGTGCTGATGACACAAATCGGAACCACGCGCGAACAAGGACGAGCATGATCATCGCGAGCACCGGGAATGAACTCCCAGCGAGGCGCAAGCAATGAAGGGGGGACAGAAGAAGAGGAAAAGGAGAAGAAAATGGAGGAGCCTGCAATGAACTCCTTCCCGGGGTGCGCGCCGCCTGCCACGCCGAGGGGAACGGCGGCTCATGGTGAGGGCCTGGCAGGGGGCGATGATGAACCCCATCCACCGCGGCAGCGCCGAAGGTGGGGGGAAAAGTCGGGTGGGGGGAAAGGCGGCGCAAGTGGGGCGCCCGGGGGTGATGGCCCTGGTGATGATAGCGCGATGATGACAACGAAGACGACGACTACGAGCCGAGTGACGAAGATGACTCCGATGAGGAGGAGTCAGGCGATGAAGAGAATGACGAATCCGAAGGAGAAGAAGATGAAGAGGCCGCTAATGAGGGGGCGGGGCGGTGCGCCGCTGCCCGGAGTTCCGATCAAGGCAATCCGGGGGGTGGTGGCCCTCCACCGCCGGGCCCGCCCGGAGGCCGGGGTGCAGAATATGGGGGATTGGTTCCGACCTCTGCCCCATGGGCAACGTCGGGCAGAATCGGCAAGGTCACGCTTGATCCCCTGCCTGACGTTGGGGGCTTCCGGACGTGGAGGAAGTCTGTCATCAGAACGGTGGCCTCATGCTCTCAACATTATCACATCTCGGCGTCAAAGTGGGTGGCCGAGGCCTTTGAGCCTAAGGCGGTGAAGGCCAGGAAGCTCGAATGCCCTGGCCCACTTTTTGGGAATCTCGACGTGCGCATCGCAGCTGACCTCATAGCGAAGCTGACGAACATTCAGAGAGAGTCCAATTCCGCTCATGCTCTCCGCCACCTAGCCAACGAAGTCGACCGCGCTGACACGAACAAAATGACGAGAGGGCGACTGCTGGCGGGCAGGTCGATTCTTCGTATAATCCAGATGCACGTTACCGCGCGTGAGGACCACGGACTGGTGTGCACCTACGAGGACCTCATGGCAATCCAGGTCAAAGGGGAAGGAAAGGAGGCTGACAAGGGCCTCTACCACTTCTACGATGAATGGATGCGGGTGACGCAGGAGATGGAGAGACCCCGCAAATCCTTCAGACCCTCGGTCCAAAACCATTTCAACAAGCAGATGAATACATGTCCCTGCGTGCAGATGACTCTCGTCATGACCGCAGTAACGATGAGTACGGGAAGGGCGTGGGATCTCACGAGTGGCTTTTGGGACATATTGCGAGGCTGATGCTGGAGGATCGAGGGGGGGGGGGGGGGCGCAGGACCCAGAAGCAGCATATAAACAAAGGCGGGGTGAAACTCAGCGGTGGCAAGGGTGGTGATGGGAGCAAGGGCTCGATCGCCATGAAGGATGGGCGGCTCAAGATGTTCGTCGTCTGCCGACGCTGGCTCAAAGACCAATGCCCATTCAGTCGGAATGATTGCCGGCGCCTGCGCCCCAAAAGGGCGAGGCCCGCGCAGCTGCAAAAACGCGGACAAACTCAGGTCGCGGGGGGGGGGGGGCGGAGGGGCAAAGCCGATTCTAGGGGCAAAGGCAATGGGGGCAGAAAAGATAAAGGTAAGGGCACAGGCGATAGTAGAGGCGGAAAAGCTGACCGACCCAAGAAGCATAATGGACGCGGTAGCAGCAACCCTCCGTAACAAAATCAAGGTCTGCTATGCTTGCAGCCGAGGCCCCCGGAATTGCGACGGCTCGCGCGGTCGCGAGCATCGCCCGCTGTCGAAGCAGGCGAGGCTGGAG